CGCCCGGCCATTTTGCACTCTTGATGGGATCATAAATTGTGTATTTATTATAGAAAACATTTGGTAGTTCCTCACAAAACTAAACATATTGGAACTGGAGAGATGGCCTAGTGGTCAAGAGCACTGTCTACTCTTAAGACCTGAGTTCAATTCCCAGCACCCACAAGGTAGTGCACAATCATACAGCTCTAGTCCTGGTATCTGTCACCCTCACCAGGTACAAACATAGGGCAGACAAAACACTCAACATAAAATTAATTAAAAATTAATTAATTAAGAATTTCAACATAAAGCTACCATCTTATCTACTTCTGGGTATGTATAGTCAAACAATTTGAGACTGGGCTCTCAAATCCTTCCACAGTCATGTTTATAATACCATTCTCACAAAAGCAAAGAGATATGAACACTCTAACTGTTCCATGAGTGGATGACTTTGAAATGTGATAAATGCATATCATGGAATAACATTCAGCCTTCAGAAAAAAAAGAGGAATCTTATCACGTGCCCCAACATAAGTGATTACTGAGGACGTAGTGTTAAGTAAGATAAGCCAGTAAACGAAGACAAAACAGGTTCACTTGTATTCATACAGAGAGCTGCCTTAACAAAACACCACAAAATAGATGGTTTAAATTCCTTTAAAAAAAAAAAATTGATCAAGATGTTGGTTGGTTTGGTTTGGTTTCCTCAAAACCCTTTTTCTTGACTTACAGATGACTCCCTCCTCACTGTACCTCACACAATCTTTCCACTACATGCACATCTTGTTTCCTTAGCACATTGAAGCTTCTTCATTGTTTTTTTTTTTAAGGTTTATTTATTTATTTATTTCATGTATGTGAGTACACCGTAGCTGTCTTCAGACACACCAGAAAGAGGGCATTGGATCCCATTACAGATGATTGTGAGCCACCATGTGGTTGCTGGGAATTGAACTCAGGACCTCTGGATGATGCTCTTAATTGCTGAGCCATCTCTCTAGCTCGAAGCTTCTTCATTGTTTAAGGCTCTCAGTCAGCTTGGATTGTAGCTCACCTTGTATGACTTTTATAGTTGTCCTGGCTATAAGCAGTTAGAAATAACAGATATAGCTGTTGTGTAACAATTTCCACAGAAACAAAACATCCCGTCTTGGAAGGATGCTCCTCAAGACACAGGATATAAAACATTCCATCCTTTAGAAAAACTCCTTAAGCTCAGGAAGTTCAGGACATATAATTGGTTATCTTCAGGAAGTATCTGAATCTGATTAGATTCACAAGGCTTCTCCCTTCCCCAGACATAAAAAAGTTGTAGAGACAATGTGGTGATTTCAATAAGAATGGCCCCAAATAGGCTCATATATTTGAATTCTTAGTTGTCAGAGAGTGGCACTACTTGAAGGGTTAGGAGGTATGACCTTGTTGGAGTAGATGTGACCTTGATGGAGGAAGAGTGTCACTGGGGGTGTACTTTGAGGCTTCAAAAGTCCATACCTAGCTCAGTGTCCTTTCTTCCAGCTTCCTGTGGATCCAGATGTAAAACTTTCAGCTACTTCTCTAGCACCTGTCTGCCTGCATGCTGTCATGCTCTCCACCCTGATAAAAAATGGACCAAACCTCTGAAACTGTAAGCCAGTGCCAATTAAATGCTTTCTTTCATAATAGTTGCCATGGTCAAGGTGTCTCTTCACAGCAATAGAACACTAAGATAGACAAGTCGCATGGGAGAGGCTCAGGCCACTGGGGCTGTCTGAAAGATACTTTCTAACCTGTTGAGCAGCCTGAACATTGTACAGTGAGCTTCAGATCTCCAGCTTTCATGCGCTGTCACCCATGCTTGGGTGGAATTTTGGTGAAGTAACTGTCTTTGAGTTGTTTCTGCTCCTGTAAATTACCACGCATAAGTAACTCTCCCTTGTTGGCTTGCCAAGTTTGATTTTGGTAGGACCCTTAGTTTGGTCTCTGTGTTCATGTCTTCCTGGGAATGGTGTCACACCATAGTAGCTCCATTGTTAAGTGTGTTTGCTTAGCACACATGGACCCCTGTGTTCAATGTCTAGCACTAAATAATTAAAGTGTGACAGTGTCTGCCTAAAATCAGATAAGAAATTCAGGAGTTCAAGAGGGTTTCTGAAGTACACCACAAGATGAGTGCTAGCCTCGAATGCACTATATAGCATCTAAAAAAAAAAAAACAACAACAACAAAGGAATAACTTTATTTAAAGACATTTCCCCAAATATAGTCACACTCTGAAGCTCTGAGATTAGGGTTTCAACATAGATGGGGAAGGACCACTGTTGGAGTGCACTGTGTGAAGGCTGGCTCTGTATATTCAATTGTTGATTGCTATACCTGCACAGAGCTGAGTACTGGCTGGATTTTGGTATTGTTATTCTCATGGCTCATCACCTGCCTCAGTGTTTTGTAAACACTCTTCCTCGCTTACCTGTTGATTGACTTAATAAAGAACTGACAGCTGATAGCTAGGCAGGACTTCCAGGTGAGAGAGTGTCTCTGGGAGAAGAATCAAGGAGCCGGGTGTTTTGCCAGCAGACATGAAGATTGTCAAATGTAGGACTGAGAGACGGTGGGTCTAGGATAGTAAAATTAAGTTAGATAAGGTAGCTGGGAGGTAGACCAAACTAAAGGCCTAGGCTTTTTATAAGTATTAATAAGTCATCTCTTGTTCTTGCCTTTTTGTTCCCACTCTGTCCTATCGCCCCTTTCCCATTCCCCTCCCCCCCTCTCTCCACATGCTCATGCCTCTACTTCTCTTCTCTCTCTCTCTCGTCTCTCTCTCTCTCTCTCTGCCTTTCTGTCTCTACTCCCCTCCCATACCCTGAATAAACTCTATTCTATACTTTAAAAAAAGTATTAATAAGTCTGTGTGTCATTATTTAACTGCTAGTGGGTTCAAAAAGTCCTATTATAGAGCATGATTCATGAGATTACAAAGAGGCCAAATTGACAGAAT